TCTCTCTCTCTCTCTCTCTCTCTCTCTCTCTCTCTCGCTCTCTCTCTCTCTCTCTCTCCCCCCAAGTCAAATACAGCTATGCCCTAATTTTGGGCTTATCCAAAGAAGTCCTACTTTATGGACTTAAAGTTAGGAAGACATTTTATGGAGGGAGATAGAGATCGTGTGGGAGGTAAATATACATGAGTTTTAGAGTGAGAGAGTTTATTTTTTAGGGTTTATTTATTTATTTATTTATGTTTTTTCTAAAGCCTATTTAAAATGAGATGTTTCTTCTTTGTAAATAGCAAAGATATTGGAATAATTGAGTTAAGTTGCACTTGTGAAAAGATCATGAAAGGATATTTTTGGGATGGATTCCCTCACAAAATTTGAAAGAGTGTGTATTCTCTAACTTTTTATTTTATATTTCTATTTTTTTTGTTTATTATTTCTCCCTGCATCAATTAATATCAGAGCAAGTAAAATCCATCAATTACAACGCTACCAAAACTTGCTCTTACAATCGAGGATATATTGCCTCAAATTTTGGAGTATATGGGTCAGCAAATTTAGTATAGCTTGAATACAACCTTGGAGGGTATTCAACGAGACATAAGTGAAATCAATTGTGGGATGTAACTATTGGATCCGAGGTTGCAACAGTTGGATCAGAGGTTGCAATGGTTGAAAGTCGCCATTCAACGAGAAGAGGGCGCTCGCAACCAAAACCAGGTGGACTTGGTGCCAAATCTCACTGTACAAATGAACTGAGCTCCCCGACGAAACATGCTCTTACAATGTGGGTCAGTAAATTTATGAGAGCTTGAACACTGCCTTGGAGGGTATCTGACGAGACATAAGTGAAACCAATCAGGGGATGTAACGGTTGGATCCAAGGTCACAACAGTTGGAGGTCACCATTCATCGAGAAGAGGGTGCTCCCAACCACGTGAACTTGGCGCCAAATCTCATTGTAGAGATGAATTGAGCTCCCAGGCCAACCGTGGCTGATGATCTAGAACGACAAGAATAAATTTACAAACAAGCTCTGCATCTCATAGAGCATCTACGAGATTTCGGAATTAAAGTCGATATGCCATAATTTCATAGTAAGTTCCATGTGTAAGCTTTTATTGATTGGTTAAGTGCAGTTGAAAATTATTTTAAAAAGAGAAAATTATCATTCAAGCTCCGCGGGTATGTTGTGACCTGGTAGAAGCAAATTCAACATCCTGACTTCATAGTGGAAAGGGAAAAGTTGTTGACTGGCAAAAGATTAAATAGAAATTGAAAGAAAATGTTTTGCATGTAGGAAATTTTCTATGAAGATTTTCAAAATATTTGGTAGAATGAGAAGAAAGTGGAAGATTATATTAAGGAATTTTATGGATTAGTTGCTTGAAATAACTTCAAACGTCAAAGAGACAGAAGGACAAAAGATTAATAACCTTCAACCCACTATTAGGGACGATGTTTTTCTACATCGGTGAAACTTTTCAAATTGATTTACGAATAGAAACTAAATATCAATGGAACACTTAAAAGTGATTTTACACTTAGATGGAGAGTTTATGCCAACCAAAATTTAAAGAAGAAAAAATGATACTTTAAAAATTACTTGTTACATATGCAATGAAACAGGACACCGTGCATATGTCATGTAACAATGAAATAAGACACCGTGCATATGAATGCCCAAAAAAGAAGGCGAAGATATACTTGAGGAAGGGGATGAAGCTCAAGAAGAAGATCAATTTTCACGAATGCTCAAAAGAGAAGGAGGATGTACACTTGGCCAAAGAAGGGGATGAAACTCAAGTCGAAGATTAATTTTTAGAAGTGATCCTACATGACGATGAAGGGGGTCCTCTTTGAATCAAGCTCAAGGTCGAGCTTCTCCCAACCCAAAGAGAATTACACTGAAAAATTAGAAAAATTCAAGATGTATTATTATTATTATTATTATTATTATTATTATTATTATCATTATCATTATCATTATCATTATTATTATTATTATTATTATTATTATTATTATTATTATCATTATCATTATTATTATCATTATTATTGCTATTATTGCTATTATTATTATTACTATTATTATTATTATTACTATTATTATTATTATTATTATTATTTATTTATTTATTTATTTATTTTTTCTTAGAGATGGGAATAGTTTTAGGATAAGTTAAGACAGAAGAAGAATTACTTTCGTGCGTGAGTTTTTTTTTTTTCTTTTTTATAGTTAAAGGGTTGGATTTTAGGATAAGCTACCTTTAGTTGGTTTTAAAGAGAGAAGTTAGGTAGTGATTGTAAGATATAGTAGGATAACTTGGGTTTATCTAAAGAAGTCCTGCTTATTTAAAGTTAGAAAGAGATTTTATGGAGGATCACATAAAGATTCACTTGAGAGAGATAAGTAGATAGAGATCACGTACAAGGGAGATAGAGTTCCCGTTAAAGGGAAGTTCGTGAATTTTAGAGAAATAGATACTCACTTGAGAGACACAAGGTTATATAGATCGCGTGTGATGGAGATAGCGATCACGTGGAGGTAAATAAAAAGGGAGTTCGTGAATTTTATTGAAAGAGAGTTTATTTATAAGGGTATTTTATTTTATTTTATTTTTGTGAATTTTATTTAAAAGGAGATATTTTTCTTTTATAAACTATAAAGAGATTAGAATTGAGTAAAATTGAACTTGTGAAAACCAACCAGAAATTGGCCATGTCATGGGGGGAACTGATCGCTTCCCGATATTTTACAAGAAATAGTTAGACGTTGATAATTCGTGATATGGATTGGATGATTCCAATATGAGTAAGTGTTTTTTAAAAACTGATTCCTACCTCCACGGAAATCTTAGCACCTGGTTACCACAAACTTTTTCTTTTTGGGTGAAAAAATTTCCCTTTAATAATTGCATAATGTTGTCATGCGTTTAGTGAAAGTTAAAGCTAGTCAAAGTATGATAATTGCGAATTGTTTCCATACCTTTTGTAGTGGGTGCCTTTATATAACGACATCGACCTCCATCAATTCTTCTTCCATGCAACTTTACTAGTAGAAGTAAGGCTTCGTATGTAGTCTATTTTAATTAGATAATGAAGATTTGAGATGTCTATTAAGATAGTATCAAAATTGTAATATTTTTATTTTTATTTGTGTTAAATATATAGTATTTAAATTAAATAGATGGATAGATTACTGTAACATTATTTTTATAAATAAAGTTGCAACTTTATATAAATTTTTCTTTTGTAGAAATCGGACAAAACCGAGTGAGGTGATTGCACGGTGAACTAAAGAGTGATGTGTGTGATATATCTTGTGCTTCTTTCTCAGATGAGAGAAAGCAATAACACCTAAGGGCACGTTTGATCTTTTAGAATATTGTGACAACATTAAACGTTGATGGATTCCCCCTTCATCAATTTGTTCCAAATAATGTTTTAAAATCTGAACCGGCAAGAGGATCATTTATTGACATATTTGCGTCATATCATTCGATCAGAGATCTGGATCAGTACAAATCCATGATCTAGAGAAATATTAGAAAATAAATGAAATAAAATAAGGACACAGGTAGCATGCGGCCATCCCACATATTGTAGAAATGCGGGCCTGGCAATTAATATAATTTCATCTTAATTTTTGGAGAATATATAATATTTAACATGAAGATCATGAATATGAAAAAATATTTACATTTTGAAAACTAGAAATAATAATTATGTTAAGAAAGCATTTGCACCGCTAGTTACAATTGTTTTTAGATGGACCACCTATTTACGTCTATCTTTAAGATGGATGCTTTATACTTATGGACCGCATATTGTAGAAATGTGGTCCAGAAACATTTGTTCATAAAAAATAATTTAAATAGGGATTTATAGGGTGGGGAT